GTCACCGAGGTCATGGCCTCAAGTCTCAAGGTTGTCATAGGTAGGTAGTGTCGGAGAAATGGATGTATCTAGATGTATTCTAGTTCTAGATGCATCCATTTTTATCCATTTCTCTGACAAGTATTTCCACACGCTCACAGGCAGCTCTATTGATATCCTACTCTCCAAGCATGGAGATAAATGACTGAAGATCAATGTCCAAAACCTGAAGATAAATGAATGACTGAAATTTCTGTTGCAGGGACAACACTGAACTATTTTCTGGACGGCCGGATCAACAGGGCAGAGGTTCTCTTCCCCGGCGTCGGATGCTTTCTGATTGCAGCCTGCCTGGGCTCACTTGTTCACTCCTCCAATGCTGCTGACAACCAGGAGAAGCTATCAAACTCCAGAAACTACTCTGCTGGGTACAATCTCTGCTTCCTTCGTTTCCCAGAATTTTACCCTTAGATATCTGAATATTTTGAGTGACAAGTATCCTCTTTGGCTAATCTGAAGATCACTTCCGGTTTTCGCCCGGTTTTCCGTAATTAACTGGGCAATTCTTTTCTGCTTAATTAATAGATGAGGCAATCTTTGCCTCCGTTTCGAAAAAAAATATATCTGAAGATCACTTTGCTGAATTCCTCACAGGAACACTGCAAAGGAAGATCTCACCCAACACCTTGTTCAAGAAGAAGGTAACAACTTGTGCATCATTAATCAGATGAAAATGATGATCTGCTGGTCTTCTTAATAAGAATCTTTCAATCGAGAACAGAGGAACCAAAGGATTGTGAAGAAGCACTACCAAATAATAAGGCTGTGGAGAAAGCCGAGGCAGGAACAGCAGATTTCCTCATCGATCTGGAGGACAAGAGATCAATCAAGGTTCTTGGATCCAACACGCTGGCGGGGCTGGCGATCGTGACGTTCGCGGGGGTGTGCTACTCGCTGTTCGCGCCGGCGTTCAACCTGGCGACCAACGACCAGTGGCACACGCTGCGCGACGGCCTGCCGCACCTCGTGGTCTACACCGCCTACTTCTACTTCTGCCTCTCCTCCCTCGTCGTCGGCGTGGCGCTCAACGTCTGGTGCCTCTACCGCCCCATGGCCGGCGTGCCGCGGTCGACGCTGCGGGCGTACGCCGGCGACCGGGAGGGGAGGGGGCTGGCGCTGCTGGCGGGGCTGGTGTCCGGGCTGGGCAACGCGTTCACGTTCATGGCCGGGCAGGCGGCCGGGTACGCGGCGGCGGACTCCGTGCAGGCGCTGCCGCTGGTGAGCACGCTCTGGGGCGTGGTGCTGTTCGGGGAGTACCGGAGGTCGTCGCGGAGGACCTACACGCTGCTGGGGAGCATGCTCTTCATGTTCGTCGTCGCCATGGCCGTGCTCATGGCCTCCTCCGCGCACAGGAAGCCGCTCTGACGCAACCACTGCTCATGCATCATCAATGCATGGCAACCGGGACCTTGTGTAGCAAAGACAGAGAGGCTACAATAGTAAGCTCTTCAACGAGGATGGATGTTGTGTAATTTGGACAAGTGCGATGTATGTCACATCTTTTTTTTAATGATCCTAATCTATGATCGAAGTTCGTCGGAAGTAAAAAGTACCTCAAACATAATAAAAATTACATCGATATTTTGAGATCATCAAAAGACCACTACCGTCGCCTGAGCAAGCCGCTCTCCTACCAAAGCCGGCTTGACCTTTTTTTTGCGTAGAACTTCGGGGCTTCTTATTCAACAAATGCGGACTTAGCACAGTCAGCCATGAGGCTGCTATGTAGGAAAGAGGGTACACGATCCTGCCAGCTCTCGGTCACCTCCAACGAACAAGCTCGTTTTGCACAAAGGTGAGCCAAGAGATTCGAAGATCTATTAATATGCTTTTGTTCTAAGTCAAAATTTTAAAATTTTGATCAACTTTATAGAAAATAGTAGTAATATATATGACATCAAATTGATATATTATCAAAGTATATTTCAAAATGAATCTATTGATACTAATTTGGTGCTATAAATGCTTTTGCTTTTTCTAGAAAGGTGGTCAAAGTTCTAAAACTTTGACTTAATACAAAAGCTAGATGTGCACTTATTCACGGACGGAGGAAATAACGGTTTAATAAGGCTAATCAGAAGCAGGAGAGATGGCATGCAAGGTAATCCTGAAAGTGATATTGGTGGGGCGCCATTGGTTGGAAAAACCAACCAATTGCCTGTTGGCCATGCGCTGACATCTTCCATCCAAAACATTCAGCTGCGCATCAAGGGCGAACACCCGCGCTAGCCACGTCATCACAGACGTACTCCGGAGATATCTTTGGGCTGGCCAATCGCGTGTGGGGCATCGGAGGTCCCTGGTTGGCGTGAACGCGTGCGCGACCGACCGAGCCGCCGTTCCCCATCCCTCGATTCCTCTCCCTCCCCTCGTCTTCCGCCGTCGCTGCCACCGGCGACCTCCCCACAGCAGCTGCCGCCACCGGCGACCTCCCCCACGGCTGATGCTCCCACCCCTTCTATCCTTCCTTTACCTTCCCTCACCATCGACGACCTCCTCCCCTCCCCCCTGCCCCAAATTGAGCAGCAGGCCCGGATCCAACGCAGGCTCAGATCCGGCACGCTCATAACCCTGGTTCGTCCTGAGGACACTATGGACAAGATGCTCTGGGCCTAGTGATGCAGCCATGGACAAGGTGCCCTCCCCTTCTCTTCTGTGTCTATGTGTGTCTGTTGGATTCGATTCGATTCGATTTGGAGGTCAGGACAAGAAAAATGAATTAAATGCACGTACCTGTTTGATGAAATGCAGGTTGTTGTGGCCATGCCTAAAATAGCCACTGGATTAGATTGTTATTTTAACTAATCCCTCTTCAGTCTCAGTCATGTTCAAGTATGAATATTGTTTCCCCTATGTGTTACAACAGGTCATGGTATAATCTAATTAATGGCATCATGGCAGGACTCATGTGGTCGTCGATTACAAGGGTGTCTCAGGGGGTTAAAGAAGTTGTGTTCTTACAGATTTGAGCTGAAAGTAATTCAAAATAGGTAAGCAAATAAGCCATGTTTCTTCTTTGCTGCTCTAGCTGTCATGTGCCACATAGTTATTTCTGTCCCACATGCTACTGGTTGCCTATTTAGATTCTATTCATGATCTATGTTATATTGTACCGATAAAACCTTGATCAAATTTAAGAAGGCATGTGTTGCTGACCCTCCTCTCTTTCTCAACGTCGGACCACTGCCGTCATTTTGTCGAGTAGCTGATTGTTTCTATCTCCATGGTTGTGATGTCAAGGATCATGGAGACCAAGGTCACCACATTCTGGTGCATGTAGAAAAATGACTAAGATCCTTGTATTTGGTTATTTTTTGTACTTACTGGCCTATATATTCATTTCTACGTTGCTTTGCTGAAGTTGCTGCTGTTTTAATTACAATGTGTGTTTTGGTTATTTTTTGTACTTACTGGCCTATATATTCATTTCTACGTTGCTTTGCTGAAGTTGCTGCTGTTTTAATTACAATGTGTGTTTTGTTGGAGCAGGAGGCCGGAAGGGATCTTATACTACGATGAGCGTTTTCTTCAATCATACCAAAATGCATGAAAAATATAGCTGTGGTTGTTGGCCTGATTTAAATGAGAATTTAAATATTTCTTGCTTGGTTATTCCAGTTATGTTACAATATTTGATTTTCGTAGCTCAGGATGTCGATTCACATTGTCTTAATTCCTGTATGCTGGTTTCTTTCTACCCCTTGACAGGGAGATCCAGGAAGGAGGTGACCGTCTCCCACGGCGTCGCATCGTCATGAGGAGGACGAAAGTGAGCATGGTACCTTTGACAAATCAATCCTATTTCCCCCCTTCTATGTGACACAGATAGGTCACATTGATTCAACAAGTATGTGCGATTTGTTGTGCACAAATTAAACATTTATTTATGCAATTAGGATGTGAATGTTTGAGATATTCAGCTTTGTATGTTGATTAGGGATTTGTTGTTAGTGAAAGAGACAGAGCAATAGAGGGAATTTTTTTTCAAAAAAAGTTTAGATATTGAGTTGTTCGCCCGTACTTTAGAATGTAATCTTCGTGTTCAAACTGCATCATACCATTACTAAAAAGATTTGGAATTTATATTGTATGTGATTGGTTTGTAGGGCTGTAGGCTGGTGACATACATACTGGTTAAGGGTGGATATATGTGATTTGTGTGCCGTGTCGGTTCCAGGTAGCACAATGTTTCAGACTCAGAGCAAAGGAAAAAGCTGATCAATAGGTTTCAGCCATGGTTAGCCTCTCTTCCAATTTTTTGATGTGAGTTTTTAGCCTTACTTTTTCTGGCAATGGATGCAGATTAGCTTGGTGGCCTGCATCTATATTTCTTTATAGTTTTTTTTGTGTTGTTTGGCTAATAATTCTGCTCTGTATCATCTCCAAACAAGGGTTAGTTAGCTATCTTTAGATCTTTTTTGGTACACAAACACTGCATGTATTTGTACGTATAGCAGGATTTGAATCCGTTTTGTATCTACATGGCAGAACTACCACTCAAATTAGTGTCTTTTATTTCTTCATCAAGAAAAGGTTTGTTCTCTCAGTTTCCTCCAAGTCCAAGTTCAGTTTGAACTGTCTAAACAGGGATTTACAGATTGTATATTCTTTGCCCACTTGCTATTTTTTTGCCAATACCGTCATTGTGATTAGCAAAAGTAGGATCGTAACCTTTTTATATGCTTGGTTACTCTTTAGATTACGATGTTGAAGACACAGCTTTACCTCTTCAACCATCTGAACTATGCTGCACCAGAACTGGTCCCTAGTGGTGATTCTAAAGTAGGCTTTTCCTGTGACATATTTAGTTTTGGATTGCCATAATAATGTGAAAATGGTATCTGTTTTAATCTGGCACATGCTTTGTCAAAATATAATGTATTTAATCTGGACTTCGCTCTACCTTTGACATATGCTACAGCTGCATATGCAGAAAACATACTGACATGTCCCCCTGTAATTGCAGTATATGAATTCATTGACATATTTAACAAGTGAAGCCTTTTCTAATATTCCTACTCATCTGGTGGTTGATTTGCAAAAGATGCTCTCAGTTGACAGCGGCGGCGGACAGCGCTGGGCGGCACGCCCATCAGTGCCCGTGTGCCCCGACCGGTGCGCACTGCTTGTGTAGGGCCACATCAGCTGGTTGCTCAAGCCTGCGTGTGGACTGCCCGGTAAGCTCTATGAATCGACTCTGAATCTGTTTGTTCTTGCAATCTTGCTCTGTCCAGTTTGGGGTTCGCTATGCAGGGTTGCGTCTAACCCACTGCCAGTGAATTTTATTCTTCTGAATTGATGTGTTACAGTGATCGGCTGCCCCGATGCCTAAAATATATGTGCCCTTAAGGCTTGGTGTCCATGGGGATAGAAAACTGAGTTGATTTCAAGTGGTACCTGAACGTCTACACAAGATTTGACTAAAACTTTCCCCTACTAGATTTCACAAGAGAGCCTTCTATTCTCCTTTTTAGAACTGAATATATTTGATGTGCCGTTCAATAGCAATGTAGATACACTGACTCTGCTTTTTCACTATCAAACAGTCCCAACAATAGGACTCTCTGCAAAATCAATTTTGGTGTCTTGTTTAATTGTTTTATTTGATGCGAGGTAATATTTTATTGTAGTGTTTAGCATGTTTTACCTTTTCATTTTTGTTTGATGAAAGATGTTTTTCTTTCTGAAGAAAATATTATTTCGTAAATAGAACAATAGTCACCATACAAGATCTTCCACCAAATAGAAATTTGTGTGTGCAGCTAAGATTGATTTCCAGCTCATCTCCATGGGTTCCCTGAGGTGAGCGCGATGCCGAGGAGAGATGGCGTCGAGGACGACATCTGAGGACATCATCACGCTCATGGCTCCGCCGCCATCGTCATCGAGTTTTTTGGTACGCACGCACTACCCCGATCACCCTTCCCCTCCACCACTCTTGTGTTTGATCGAGTGATTCGGTGGCAGGTTTCACAGCAAACAGGTGTGCGACGGGCCGGCAACCAGCGGCGCCATCTCTATCCCTGACACTAGATAATAGCGTGGCTAATGGCCCGCGCGCGGCGCGCCTGTCTGTGCCCGTGCGCTCAGGCTGATGCGGACTGCGACTGCGCGTAGGGCCGCCGCAGCTGCATGCTCAAGGCGGCGTGCGGACTGCGTGGTAAGCTCCATCAATCCACTCTGAATCTCCTTGTTTTGCAGTCTTGCTCTATCTAGGTTGGGGCCCTGTACAACACTGCTTCAAATATATGTGCCCTTAAGGCGTAGTGTTCATGGGGATAAAAAAACTCTGTTGGGTTTCAAGTGGTACCTGAACGTCTATACATTGAATAAAGTTTCCCTTAAGATTCCACAAGAGAGTCTTC